AAACAGTACAATACCACATTACCACAATACCAACTTTTTGAGACTTTTAAACAGATGCATTATGAAATCTGGACAGTACGAACACTGGACACTAAATTCCACATAAGATAACCTCAAATCCTAGCAGCACGTCTGATGAAATGCTCTCTTCATCTCAGCTGATTCACGTTCCCACTGTGACCCAGCGTGAAGGTTCATCTCAGCTACTGTAGCTCCTTCTCCTGATCATATTTCCAACAGCCCTGTACAGGAAGGTTGCTCCCGAGCTTTGCCGAGGAAACAGGTGTTTCTCCATTGTTGTGGTGCGATCGGCCACTGTGATAGACTCCCACACCGCGAGGGGGTCGACGCTCATTGTGTGGACTCTCTGATTGATGGGGACCAATATCCCAAATGCGCCTTCTCCTGTGAGCCTAGAGTCTTCTCATCCACATCCCTCCCTCCCACAACAGTAAGGCCAAACTCCCCCCGCCGTGATCGTTTTAGGAAATAACAGCAGTCGAACAATGGTGACAACATTCAACGGTAAGTGCTTCCTTTTTATATGCTGCCGACAACACAGTGGCCCAGTTGAGCAGATACAGTAGGATGCAGGGGATCTATCGCAGAGCAATATTTACCAGAACCAGGATGCTGATTTGCTCCTGTCTAGGCGGAAATGAGGAACTCTATTCTTTCCTTTTTAGCCTCTATTGGTACCTGTGGGAACTTTACACTCACCTCAGTTTGAGAGCCTGTTGTATTGTGAACAACAGTGAACTGAGGGAACAAGGAAACAAGCAAATTCATTGTGGGGGGAAAAAAGTGTCTAAATTTGTTAATTAAAATAAAAATTTGCTTAGTAATAACATTTTCTACATTGTTTAGTTTTTGCTGCTTTCCATGTTAAAGCCTTTAAATATTTTTTTAATACATTTTGTGCACAGTAGTGAGCAAAAGTGATGGGCATTAGTTTGGGTTTTTTTTCTCATTCAAGTTTGATAAAACCATCAAAATACGAAGAAACTAATAATAATAATAATAATAATAATAATAATAATATATATACACTCTAAAAATGCTGGGTTGTTTTAACCCAATTTTGGGTAAAATATGGACAAACCCAGCCATTGGGTTACATTTTTAAATGATAATTTTAACCCAATAGTTGGGTTTGTCCATATTTTACCCAAAATTGGGTTAAAACAACCCAGCATTTTTTAGAGTATATATATATATATATATATATATATATATATATATATATATGAAGAGTTCAGATGCAAAAGCCTCTAAATGCCATTTGAAATTTTCTTCTTTAATGATGATTTTTATCAAACTTGTATATTTAAGTTCAGTAATTTCACTTAAATAACAATTAATAGGTAATTATCATTGCCATTTAAGTGAAATCACTGAACTTAAATATACAAGTTTGATAAAAATCATCATTAAAGAAGAAAATTTCAAATGGCACTTAGAGGCTTTTGCATCTGAACTCTTCACAGATATATATATATATATATATATATATATATATATATATATATATATATATATATAAGTAAAGGTAAATCTGACAGAATCTGACATTTGAGAAAAAAATGGGATAAATTACAGTCACAGGTTTTATTTTTCTATGACAAAAAAAAAATGCATTGACTACAACATAATCAGTTATTAAAATTTCTCTTGTTTTTGCATGTGTTCATAATGTTTTTGTATAACAGCCCGACCAAACAATTATGTCAGCACAATTTGACTCACAACAACAACAACAACACCAACAATAATTTGAATTAAGGGTGATGATGTCAATTTTCTTAGGCTGGACATCACTTTTGGCCATTACTGTATGTCTAATGTGTACTTGGTGTTTAGTATCTTTTTTTAAATTATATATATATATATATATATATATATATATATATATATGAAGAGTTCAGATGCAAAAGCCTCTAAGTGCCATTTGAAATTTTCTTCTAGAATGATCATTTTTATCAAACTTGTATATTTAAGTTCAGTAATTTCACTTAAATGGCAATTCATAGGTAATCTTCATTGTCATTTAAGTGAAATTACTGAACCTAAATATATAAGCTTGATAAAAATGATCATTTTAGAAGAAAATTTCAAATGGCACTTAGAGGCTTTTGCATCTGAACTCTTCATATATATATATATATATATATATATACATTATTTTCACAGAAAAATTAACTTTAGAAAGATCTAAATACCTATTTATTACTATGGATGTTATTTTTACCAATTAAACTTATATGGACATCCCCATATTGTGAAATTTACAAGTGCCCGTCTAAAGATGTAATACTGTAGTGTACATATTTCGAATTTACATACTATTATTGTTCTGTATCCAGTCTGTTTGAACAGAATTTCTGTGTTCTGAGTTCCTTTTATCATGAATAACCGATAAGATTCAGTCATACGCAGCTTGAGTATTTGATTCGTGTATCTGATGTGGATAAATAAGTGTGCCAGTGGAATATAAATATGTAGAATAAATAAAGCACATTCCATATTTGGAAAGGATTTTGTCCATATGCCAGGTGTGTGAGTTCACAGGTAAAAACAGTGAGGAATATGAAATTGATTGAAAAGATATGAACCCTGCTGTCATATACAAACAGGAAGAGGTTAAACACAAAACAACTTTAGCATGTCTTTCATGTCAGACATTACCAACGCCTATGTCTGTTTATGAAGGAGTTACTTTCACTTCAAATTATGACTCAAACTTAACGAATTCTGAACATAGAGGATCTGGCTGACAAAAACATGTATTATGGCAGCCATTTAAACAAAGTTTAATGCAAAAATTGCATGTTTATAATCGCTGTGGCTGAATATGGCTTTCGGGAATCTGCTTTAGAACAATTATACATTACCATACATTACTCTATAACTTTCATACATTCTGAGCCAGCCCATTCTCACTCCCAAGGCGTCACCTAACTGACGCCTTGGGAAGCATTTGGACATGCTTCAATATCTGACGCTTTAGGCGCCCTTTAGCGTCAGTTAGATGACGCCCTAGGATCGCGTGTACCCTACCCCCACCCCACACCTAAACCTAACCACGTCCTCTAACTGACGCTTTCCTTTAGCGTCAGTTAGATGACGCCGTAGGATCGCGTCATGTACGTGACGCTAAAGGGCGCCTAAAACGTCAAATATTGAAGCATGGTCAAAGGTGACGCCTTGGGGTGAGAATGCGTTGTCTGAGCACAGATATGTTTTTGTCCAGTGACATTTTACAGGCTGACCACAGTGTTTAAAAGCAATGGTACAAACACTGATGATCGTCACCACTGAAACTTTCATCCAGTTTCATTTCCACAGTCTTGCACAATCTTTGGCCCTCCAGCAGACTACTTTTTAGAGATTAAAGGGACAGTTCACCCAAATATGAAAGTTCTGTCATTATTGTTGATCCAAACGTCCGCTGAACACAAAGTTTGAAGAATGTCAGTAACCAAACAGTTGATGGACCCCATTGACTTCCATAGTATATTCTTCAAAATATATTATTTTATGTTCAGCAGAAGAAGGAAAATCATACATGTTTGGAACAACTTGAGGGTGAGTAAACGATGACACAATTTGAATTTTTGGGAACTATCCCTTTAACTGGAATTTAAGCTTGGCCAATGATCTGTTATTAAGTGAAGAACCTGTTATTTTACTGAAGTGGATGTTTGTCACAAGAAATTACTTGTTTATTTATTTGTTCGTAGTAGTTTCTGTTGCACTATAGTAATGAAAACATTTACAAATATGCTAAATCAATTTATCTGTTAGTTGAAATGAACCAAACCCACCTTACTGCGAACAGTAACACATTTGTTGCTGATGGACAAGCACATGAATGCCTAAAAAAAACATCCTTATATGTATTATTAGAGTTTTTGTCGGATGCTGTTTATGCATGAAAAGGAGAAGTATCTCACTATTTTAAAGCTGAAGTCAACCAAAACACTGAAGGCCTCTTGCAGAGATCAACTCTCTTTCTGAGTACTATGGCAACAATGAAAATAAATATATAATTTGAATATTATAGGTAGTATTAAATAGAAAACTAATTTGCAAGTAAAATGATTTAACAAGTAAAGTAAATACATATCCTTTTTATTCAGCTGTATAAATATCAGACCCTTGAACAGAGGCTTGTCCTCCATAGTTTTATATATATACATATGTGTGCAGTACATCACATAAATGCATTAAATACTATGAGTTCCTCAGTGCAATCAGTCTCTAACAGAATCTAAAGCACATTAATCTACAGAGCTGAAACATCTACTTGAGGGTTTATCATCTTACAATCGATAGATCTATACTGTATATATAAAAATATTTTCAAATGTTGTTATTCAATGTCATATACACCCCCCCCCCCACACACACACACATAATCTTAATGAATTTTCTGTGAGAAGTAGAACGACTTCTGTAAGTATGTTGCATGAATGTGATAAGATCTCAGACTTAGCTGCTGTTTTTACATCTGACCGTTCACCACAGAGGAACACAGAAAAAGATTGCTTTGAGTGCTAAAATTCTGCATAGTTTGAGTAATAGAATCATGTAAAGTAACATAACAGGACAGATGCTGCCATATCCCTATATTATAGGACTGCATATTGTGTTGCACACAGGTAGATGAATATCATTCAACAGGATACGGTTCAGAACAGCTGTCCTGCATGCCTCACTACACAGAATCAGTGAATAGTAAAGTTTCCATCTGACATTCTCAGCTGAGCGTCCTGTGTCTTAAAAAAAAAACTCAATTTAAAGGGTTTTGGATATATGTGGGTCTCGTGAACATTTGAGCAGGTACATGCAAAGATGCTGGCTAAAGTAAATCATGAGCAAGCTTGAATTCACCTGCACACCGATCATGATCAATGACTTGAACTTATCCTGAGTTTTACTCTTTTCCTATCTCAGATTTAACCATCATGATATGGGAATGCCCCACAGGAATCACTTACCTGGAGTTGTTAGCCTCTTCCCATGATTTCTTTGCCTCTTATCAGCATGCGGGGTGAGATGGAACCGGTGTCCTTGAAGCGTAATCCAGCACTTAAGATGAAAAGAGATGGAAATGTAACCACATCTTTCAGCATCAGCCTACATAGACGCTGAAATGACGGCAGCAACAACAGGAGCAGTCTTCAGCACGACTGTGACGCTTTACTGAAACTAACAGGAACTCAGAGAGAAAAGGTGCAGAAGAACTCAAAGAGGAAGACATGGGCCACATGTGTTCATGAGTGGGAGGAGGTTTAACTTACACACACGGCTTTTGTTCTTTAACGGATACCTTGGTTTTTATTAATGCCATTGTCATGGATGGGAATTTGCCATCTTAGAAATCAATGACAGCTTTTGTTAAGAATACAGAAAAATAATTTTAAACTGGCATGTAGATGTTTTGTAAGAGATTCTCAAACATAAGAGTATATAGGCCTACCCAAAATATCAAAATAATTTGTTTTCTTTTAAAAATTGAACATTAAAAAGGTAACTTAGGTTTAATGACTTTTGACTAGTTGTATTGTCTGAATAATATAATTTGAATAATCAAATGGCATGGTGTGTTTTTTTCCAGACTTTTCTCTAAAGTCTAACTGCCGACTTAGCCTCTATACTCAGAGTAAGATCAACTCTTATTTCCCCTGAGGGTGAAATTTGCATTTTATACAGTAAGAATGTCTCGGTCACTCTCTGACTCTTCCCTTCTCAAAAATCACACAGCATGTTGGAACTCATTGAATATTGTGTGGTTGTTCTAAAGAAGGAACTAACTAACTCTTTCAATCAGAAAGATCATGACAGGAACCTCGGAATAAGTAAGAATATGCAATGAAAGATCTACAATAGCAAAAAAGATAGGCCTTTGACACTTGTTTAATGGGAGATAATGGATGAGCTTGGCTAGGTGGAAAATGAAATACTGCCATCTAGTGGTTATTTGTAAATTATCAAAAACCCGTAAGACATTCTGGTGAATGCTTTAAGACCTTGAACTTCCTCAAATGAAAGCCAGAAATAGCCTATAGCCCACGTAGCCTATACGGAAATGTCGTAGGCCTATTCGTTTGTAAATGAATGAATGCCTATTTGTAGGCTATAGCTAACCGACTTAAATGAGTGTTTATGTCAGCTGTTTAATAATAGAAATCACTTTAAAATAACTCTGATACATGATCTCTGTTCTATTCACATTCATATGTATAATCGATGTGAATTTTTAGACTTGAAACGCATTGTGACACCCATATGCTATTTGCGCATGCGTGCCCTGCCACCAAATGGCATTGCTTTTGAGTAGCCTACCCATCTCGAATCAACCATCCAAATTCAGGCGAAGCGTGACTGGCGTCGCTAATAGAGATAACCAGTGAATTTGAATGACCGTTTGATTTCATTGATCACAGAGCTGAACATTGTTATTCCTGAAATGTTTGGAGCATTAACCTGTGCACTTGTTAGGCTACAATTGAGACAACTTTTATTTAAAATAAGCCTACTGCAATCAGCCTAGGAAGTGGCTCAGAGGGATCTTTCTAACCCAACAAAGTCTACTACTAGTCTAAAAGCAGTTATTCCACCTTCTTAAAAATAAATGTTATAGCCTGCTGTAGCCTATAGGCTAGGCCTATGCAGTTCCATGAAAAACCGTAAACATCCATAGAACCTTTATGTTGCACAAAAGTTTTACTGGAAATTATTATCCTTTACGTAAAGAAAAAAAATTGTTAGGCTATTTTCAGAACTTTTCTCTGAAATGTTCTTTAGGGAACCAGAATCGGTTCTTCTATGGCATCATTGCAAAAAGCCCCTTTTTGGAAGCTTTATTTTTCATAATCCCACTCAAAACAAACAAACAAGTAAACCAAGAAAATGCAAAATATAGGCCATGTATTTGCATAACCTATTGCCTGCATAGTGTAGAAGATTCAGAACATTATGTAGAACGACGAAGTTATAGCCTAGGTAGCTATAGCTAATATGTCGCGGAGTTATCTTGTTCACTCCTGTTGAGGTTACTATAGCAACGGCAAACCGCTCTTGCGCTTTTCATTGGATGTGTAGCCTATCCATTCAGGATGAGTAGCAGCTACATCGAAAATATTTTTGTCTCTTCTTTTCATTTCTTTTTTTTTCGGAGTTATAAAATTTGCATAGGCCAGTTGCGACAATATTTTTTAAAACACTGGATAATGTAGCCAATTATGTCACACAAATATGCTTATAAAATATAGCCTATGCACTGTAAAAAAAATAATGAATAAAGTAGACTAAATAATGCAACAAAGGCCATATGGGCCTGTACAATTGGAATATATTTAGTAAAAGCAATATTTTATGGTAATATTGTGGCATAGGCCTAGGCTGTCCTCCTTGCACAGGTAAGCGTGCCGTGTATTGAGTGAGAAAGGATTTCATCAATTCTACACCTGATCTAAAAAAATGTTACAAATGTGAAGACATCGTGCAAAATCTGTTTAATTAGCTCATGCATAGCCACAAGTTACCAGGTTAAAGTCGGGGTTTGCTTTTAATAAGAGCATCATCCGAATATCAGAACAGCATTCAAATGCAAAAGAAGTCATTAACTTTGGCTGCTATTTAAATAAAAAGGTACCAATCGGGATTTTTTTTTATCAGAAACTGAAAAAAAAAAAGAAATGAAAAAAAAAAAAAAGAAATTTAATTTCCCAATGCACGGCACAATGAGGCTCAGAAATTCTAAAAATACCATTATGTGTTTTTCTGCTCTACAGTTTTTATGAATTAAATATTCACCACCCAATTAGAGTAAATGCATTTCATATTTATTAGCCTACTGTAACTAAATTACAAAGTAAACTTAGGCTAGATTCTTATTGATAATCTACCAGTGGATGTCGTTGTTCTCTCGAGTGTCACTGCTAGATGAATGAGCTCAAAGCACTGCGTAAAAGACGCGCCCGACTCTGTCTCCATAGAGTATATAGCTACATAATGTGTGTGTGTGTGTGTGTGAGAGAGAGAGAGAGAGAGAGAGAGAGAGAGAGAGAGAGAGAGAGAGAGAGAGAGAGAGAGAGAGAGAGAGAGAGAGGGAACGGGGCGACGTGAGTGTCTCCTATCTCACTAGAACTCAAACTAACGGGATCTTCTTATATCCTCTACATGCACAGAGATTCAAGAACCAGACAAGTGAAAGTGCGAGTTCATTACTCCAGGAAAAAGAGAGCCAGCACGAACTCAGATTGCTTTCTGACTTTCTGCTTTTGCTGATGTTTGACGGAGGTACAGTGAAACTGTGTGGATATTCCTCTGCGATTTTCTTTAATTGCGAAAGTGTAGGCTAAATATTGCCGTTTTTTTCCGGTGTGGTTTAGATCAGGTGGAGTTTGCCCATGTGTTGGAGTCAGATTCAGATTCACATTAGTTTGTTATTTGGCACCGGTTTGGTCGTGGTGTCATAGCGGCTGTGGATTGATCTCGCTCAGATTTTCAACTGATTTCCCCCCGTTACATCTGCTAACAGAGAACATCTTCTCTCATTAGGACACGGCTGTGTTTCAGCTCAGAGAGACTGAGGAAGGCGCGTGATGATGTTGAGGGTCTCGGATGCTTTGGTCACTTTGGTGACTCTCTACTGTGTGTTCAACGGGACTGTCGGCGGATATGGCATGAGCATGTTCGCCGCTCAGACCTCCCCACCGGATCCGTGTTACGACGAGAACGGTCACCCCAGACGATGTATCCCCGATTTCGTGAACGCGGCGTTCGGTAAGGAAGTGCGCGCGTCCAGCACCTGCGGCAAAACACCGAGTCGGTACTGTGTGGTGACCGAGAAAGGGGATGAAAGGCATAGAAACTGCCACACGTGCGAGGCGTCGGACCCAAAGAAATATCACCCACCTGCTTACCTAACCGACCTGAACAATCCTCATAATCTCACCTGCTGGCAGTCGGACAATTACATCCAATATCCTCAAAACGTCACTTTAACATTATCCCTAAACAAGAAATTCGAAGTGACCTACGTGAGTTTGCAGTTCTGCTCACCCCGACCAGAGTCTATGGGTATATTTAAATCAATGGACTACGGCAAGTCCTGGGTGCCTTTCCAGTATTACTCGACCCAGTGTCGAAAGATGTTCAACAAGCCCAGCAAAGCCACGATCACTAAGCAAAACGAGCAAGAGGCTATCTGCACAGATTCTCACACCGACATGCACCCACTCTCTGGCGGCTTGATCGCGTTCAGCACCCTGGACGGACGACCTTCCGCGCACGACTTTGACAATTCACCCGTACTTCAGGACTGGGTGACTGCCACTGACATTAAGGTTACTTTCAGCCGACTGCACACTTTCGGAGACGAAAATGAGGATGACTCGGAGCTGGCCAGAGATTCCTATTTTTACGCCGTGTCAGACCTGCAGGTCGGAGGCAGATGCAAGTGTAATGGACACGCGTCACGGTGCGTCAAAGACCGGGATGGAAACCTAGTGTGCGAGTGCAAGCACAATACAGCCGGACCAGAGTGTGACAGATGCAAACCGTTTCACTATGACCGACCCTGGCAGCGCGCAACCGCAAGAGAAGCCAACGAATGTGTCGGTAGGTCCAACTCTTTATTTCTGTGCCATCTCTGGAAAGCGCATAGTGCGGCGAGAGCGCATCCCCAAAGATAAGTCGTTGATCTTTCGTCGCACGTTTGAGATGAGTTCGAAACCAGCCATGACTGCCTAAAATGTGCGGGTGTTTTCTTTTTAAATTCAAGCATTTTGCATCTAGTGAAGAGAACTTTCAGGACCATTATAGCTACAGTAGCAATAGGCTATCTAGGCGATAGATTTATAGAGAAAGCGCGATGATTTTGAGGTAGGGAGATAATCAAAATCTACATTTTTACAAGACTTGAAATAATGGTTTGAAGATAAGCTACTCTTGTCAGTCCTCAGTTAAACGAAAATAAATGATTACAGTCTAACTTGATTTTATAGCCGATGTGTATTAATTACAAATCTGTAGGCTAATTACCTAATACAAATTAATTTGAATTTGTATTAATTTTAAGGTCTGCTTTTGCAGTCCATTTTATGTAGGCTTCTATTAGTGTTTATACTAAAATAAAACAAATGGGAATTTTGGAAACTTAAATTCGCTTAAACTAGGCCTAAATGTACGGATAAATGCGTTAAATTATAGGCCTATATTTTTTTAAAAGAAGAAAAAAGGAGGTAAAAGAAAAATTTGTCATTTGTCCAGTATAGCCTGTTAAGATGCGTTTTAAGGTTTATATTATAAGCATTACAAACAAGATATTTCAATACAGTTTAAATAATAATAATAATGTTTAAATAATCTTCAGTATTTATTATTAGTTTCGTAGAAAAAATCTATATCCGGCGTCAACACGCAGATAGCCTAATAGAAACATAAAAATCAATTTGTAAAAAGAAAAAAAGTGAACAGGTGTCTTAAAAACAAACGCCGCATTTTGTCGTCTAAAGAACAAAGTGATACAAGTCTGCCAATGAGCCGCCTCGTGTTTTGCCCCTGCATGCATTCACTTTTATCACTGTCATTAAAATACATTTTCAGACATATCACTTTCATAGGCTTAAATTAATTGATTTTATTTAGAGTTATATCACAAATATAAATACGGATAAAAGGATACAAACAAATCGAATTAAGCTATATCCGCAGCGCTGGATAGGTTCCAAACTATTTATTTACATATTAATATTATTCACTCTCAGGAATAATAATAAAAAAAAGGTACAAATCACTGGAACAGAAGCCTTTCAAAAGCTATACCTTTGTAGTCTATACCTAATAAGTGCATATTAGTATCTAAATAGTACCAAAAATATACATATTAGTACTTAAATGGAACATATTATAACCTTCTTAAAGGGTACAGAGTGTTGTTACTGATATGTTATTAAGCATTTGTAAAAAAATATATTTTGTATGCACAGCTATTTGTAATGCACATGACCATTGTATGAAGCATGATAAACTATCTGGGGAATATGGATATTTAGCCTATTGCTAAGGCCGCAATAATAAAGAAATAAAACAATAACGCTTAATTCAATAAACGAAAAACATCATTTATAAATAAACTAAACTAAAAGTCATAGTCAGCCGGCCTACACCAAGCTGAAGCCCCGTTAAATCAGTCTCTTTATCAGCAGTTTGAAAGATGAAATAACTCGGGTTATTAAAAGTGCATATGGGTCCAGCAGATACATAATACCTGTGGATTAAAGCATCCCTTCAAATAAAATAGGATTAATACTGACAATGCCCTTTTTGTATTTCTGTGATTTCACTTTGCCTATACTGTTAAAAAGAATATCTGGATAAAAAAAGAATAAAAAAAGCTGTACCTCATTGGTCTGCATCTTAAAACACGATGAAGAATAATAATATTTGAATACCTTACATCTATTTAATGACTCTATGTATTTAGCAGATATAGCTGATTTCCTGTCAATGTGAAAACTAAAAAATCCACTTCAATATCAGAATGACTTAAGCAGTCCGTATGGAATGAGGGTGCACTGTCAATTCGACAAGTAAAATAATGCCTGGTCCTACGTAAACAAATCTGAATCATAATCATCATCATCCATCACACATTTCAGAAGCAAATTTTGCATTTTTGACTCATCTTAAGAGAAGAGCTTGTTCTTATTCTAAACAAACAAACCAGTTTAGTCACACATGAGACATGAATTGCTCCCCTGTATCCTTGACACTTTATTTTTACCAGGCCTTCATGAGTGTGTCTTGCATGGGGGCACAAAAGAACGTCACTCACAGCATCCATCTTGCTGTCAGCGAGCCGGACGCTTTTGCCGAACATTCCTCGGCTGTGTTTTTCCTGAGCGCAGTGCCATCAGATCCAGTGCCGAAATGAAAAGAGAGTGCGAGAGAATGAAAAGGAGTGAAGAAGTGAAAAGAGAGGAGTGAAGGGGTGGGCAGCGTTAAAGCAAACAGAACTTAAACAGGAGAAGAAAGAGCCGTGTGACACCTCTGAGCGAGGGCAGAACCCGAGGGAAAACCTTTGTGTGCGAGGGAGGGCAAAATGCAATCAAACACCTATAGAGACACTATGGCAACCTCTCATTCATAACCCAAGCCTAAATATGGAACGTATGTTGTAAATGATCTGACTGAGGGTTTGGTCCTCTTTCATCACTACTGTATGTAGGAGAAACATTTCTGCATTCTGGGAATTATTTCAGTGTAACTCTCTTTGTTGGTCCTAATATGTGTTCATGTACTAGATTGAACCCTTACTGAAAGGAAAGGAGCTCGAGTTGAACCGGGACGCTATGGATTCCATTTACTAATATAGCGAGTGGATAAAATGATTTGAGAACACGGGGTAGGTTTTAAAGTGAGTGAAACATAGGACAAGAAATAGTGTTGAGAGAGAGTGTTTAATAGATAGCGATCAATAGGACTGCAAAGAGACCTAGGTTTTACTTAAACTGCACTTAACTGATTGGAAAAGGGGCCGTATAACCCCCTGAGCGCCCCGTTAATGTGGCTTTAGGCTATTGATCAGCTGATGCCATTGAGAAGCATAATTCCTTAATGCATTGCGCCATAGTCTGAAGCCTGTCAAGAACACAAGAGAAGGCGGCCATTCTTTGAAATAGGAATGCCACTCCATGCTTGGGAAAAATCATTCAAATAATCATTTTATTACATACAAATCATTTTCTAATCAAGTCATATCTTTACACATTTTGTTTTAAAGCAGCTTCACAGTAAAATAACAGTGTTAACGTAATGAAATCAATCAATTCTGAAAATTTTTATTTTAACTAAAGCATGTACAGAATACATAAGTCATCATTCAGCTCAGTTTAGTTCAGTCAGTGTTGATTCAATTCAGTTTAATAACGGTCAATGTTGTAAAATTAATTTCAAGGACAATTTTTTTTTGCATTGTTTCACTTCATTTAAATCAAATTAATAAGCAAACATTTAGAAGAGGATTGTCTTTTAAGCTTCGCTCCCTGGACTTGACCAGATGAGGCAGCAAAAAAAGTGAATGTTTTAGTAAAGATAAGGAAATGTTTTAAAAGAATGTAATCTTGATGACAGAAGAGTTCGTGTTTAATCTCGGGCTGGTTTTAGGGTTTTAGACGAATGAGGGATGTTTCTCTGTCCTCTATTGTTGGAAGTAAAGCATATCGCTGTCAGGATACGAATTGTTTCTCTTGTATTTCCCTCATGTGCTTGTTTCTCTGTCACAAAGTTAAGTTTAACTCCCTAGCATCTCTCCCACATGCCAAACCACAACATGACTCTGACAGTTTGAACAGACCGTCTCACATAGTTACCACATGATCTCCTTGAGCATTAACTACACACTTGGAAGTGGTTTAAAGCTCTCTTGGGCCCGATTCTGAAATTCTTGAGTGGCAGTGCAGGTTGATATGCTGAAGGCATGAATTAGGTGGACCCATCACGCTAATCTACAAGGACGTTTTTGTCACGTTTTTAAGAGGAAACAAAGTAGGGGACAGCGGGGCACAACCTAACGCATTTTGGTTTTGGCTCAATTAATTAAAAAACAATTAGGTTAGATTAAGGTTGGTTTTTTTTTTACACAAGCAACATACACATCTCTGCTACAAATGAACACTTAAAGTTGTTTTCTAGGACCTACCATTTTCGTACAGTTGCACTGAAAGTGACAGAAGTGCAAAACTTACCCCATATGCGGGGTTAATTGTAACAGCCAGAGGGGTTAGTTGTAACACTTGTGTGTAACACACATAATTCAGTACTATTTTATTTGTATAGTTTGATATTGTTTGTGCATCTGTATTGGTAGATATCCATACATCCATCCCTCATCCAATCATCCTTCTTATTATGGATCAATATCATGGATAGAGACATAGAAAAGGGCTGCACAGTTTTGCAATAAATAATAATAAATAAAATCGTAAAATATTGTAATTGCAATTGAATTAGATTTGTGTGTGGCAGCTGCATGTACAATTATTATAATTAATAATAATAACAGTCATAATAATACAAATGAGCTTTAAATAAATGTATATTGCATTAAAAACAGGCCATATTTTTAATAAATAAACAAGTGAGCAAAGCATAGTAAACTAAATTTTAAACATTTTAATTTCCAACATTATTTGTGAAACTCCAACAAAGTTAAATGTATAAATACTCAAAACCTAAAAAGTTGTGTGGCTCCGTTTTCATTACAACTAACCCCGCTGTGTAGAACATATTTTTAACCCTAGCTAACAGTCGGTAGGAATTGCTGATATATGTTTCAAAACGGTGCTATGTTTGAGCCAACAAGACAGTGATTAAGGCAATATAAAGTTAGATTTGGAAGCGTATACACCCAACTCAGAAACCGAAAAAAAAAAACTATGATGAAAAAATTTACTTTCATGGTGACAAAACACTCTTTGTCCAGTATCTTCACGAAATATTGTCAAAACTTTCCGCAAATTCGCAGGAGAGCGTCTTCAGGCAGCGAGAGAAAAATATCGTAAACACAACCTGCTTGATCCTGACGAACTATGTAAAAGGTCCGTGTTACATTTAAC